CTCCCCCCCCCCCCAATAAGCCCCGGTATAATTAAATGGATTAATTGTATTCAATTAATATATTAATTTACATTTTATAATTTGCGGGTCAATACAATATTGGGATAATTAGAAAGGCACTGCAGGTAATCTTAAGCTATGTTTAACAAATAAATTAACATTTATTTTAAAATAAAAATTACAAAACTAACAATTACAAATCTCGCAATTTTAGGTGGATATTAAAATATTACAGTTTTGTTAACATAAAATATTTATTATCTAAACTGTACAACAAATTTTATTATTGAGAAATATATAATAATATTGAAGCTAAAAGGTACAGTATGGATATACAGATGAGAAATGTTTTTAATCAAAAAATTATTATTAAATAATCATTTTTAATCATATATTTCAACACTTTATAATTAATATAAGCTTTACTTTAAATTAAATAAAAAATATTTTTAATAATATTTATTTATTAAAATTTTTTAAATGATAATATTTTCAATAAAAACATGAAACTATTTATGTTCACAACCATAAGTTTCAGGTCCCTTTCCAGTGCCAAACAGACCATTATTAATCGCCCGGAGCATTGGGAACTTCACCGCACAGCAACTACCCTGGGTATCATCTTGTCCGACCTCCCAAACGATTATACCGCCAAAGCCATTGTCTTTCACCCATTTGCTCTTGCTACAAATTAAATGATATTATAATAAATAATAAATAAATATAAGTGTTTTAAAAGCAACATGTTCAATTATCACTCACTCATAGGCCTGGTATGGGTCGTCATAACCGAGCCATACGTTGCCACTATAGGCAATGGGGTCTTTACCACCGGTGGGTCTCTCCTTTTTCCAGCCCTTATTCTTAACCAAATCGCAAATCTCGCTGTAAAGGGAGGCGCCGTCGGAACCGCCCGGAGTGTTGCCAACGCCGGTAATGGGGGCTCCCATTTGGTGTTGGGCCGCGTTTTGTAGGGTAAACCCGCGGCTATAAAACGGCACTCCCAGCAACACCTTGTCTTTGGGCATACCTTTGTCTACATAGGGTTTACTCCAGTCGACGGTGCGCTTAAAGTCCGAGTGATGGCCAGTCTTCTGGTCCCACGTGCCGGCCATGTCGTACGTCATGACGCACAGGTAGTCCAGCGCTCTATCGTATTGTCATATAATGTTAGTAACATTTTAAAAATATTTATAGATTGTTAATCATGATTTCTAAATAAAATTAATTATTTAGTTTATAAATTATTTAAACTTCTTCGGACAGTTTAAACCAATTATATTTGAAATACTTGATGTGTCATAAATTAAAGTTGTCATTATGAATTAATTACAGTCTTTATAAATTGTTATAAACAATTACTATTGTTTTATACTTTCTAAATTAACATATCATTTTAAATATGTCCAATTACTTACTTAGCCATAGCGGGCACGTCATAAGCTTTATCTCCGGGTCCGTTGGGAAAACTTGCCGGTACGGCGGCCGAGAGTGACAGTCGGGGGCTATTCTTATCAAAGGCGGCTCTCAATTCCTATTTAATAATAAATATTAAATTAAACACATTTTATTAGAGAGAGAGAGAGAGAGAGAGAGGGAGAGAGAGAGAGAGAGAGATGCTTACGGTTAACAGTTTGCCAAAGTTAGGCTTATCAGATGCGGGCCCACGATTGCAATCGCCGCCCCAACAGACCGGGTACTCCCAGTCAACGTCCAGACCATCGAAACCGTATTGCTTTAAATATGCGACAGTATTCTTGACAAACGCGCCTCTGGCAGTGGGATTGTTAACCATGTTGGACAGGGGCTGATCGGGTGCGCCAGCGCCGGCCATAGCGACAATAATTTTGAGCTCAGGGTTTTTGGATTTAAGCGATTTTAGTTGGTTGTAGAGATCTGGTCGGGGGCTACCGGTGCTGTCGACAATGGTATTTTTACCCTCGTCAAATTTGTGAAACGAAAAGTGAATGTGTGTGCAAAGGGTTGCGTCAAAGTTTGCCGGCGCCAGACTTCCCAACCGATAGTCGGGGTAATAGCAGACCACTCGCGGCTTACATACGGACAGCGCTAACTGTGCGCACACAAGCGCGGCGTATAATAAGACTTTCATCATTAGTATTGTTAAATAATTGTTATTAACAATAAACTGATTGAATAGTGCTTGGAAACTAACTTGCTTATATACTAAAATAAAATGTCATTTTACCAATTTATTTAATTAATCCATTTTTATAATTAATATGTTTGTGCTAAACAGATTTTTTTACCAAAATAATTGTTAGCTAACAATTTCATTACAATGTACTAAACAATCAAAATATTGTATGTTGTTTACGAGTTAACATGCTCATTTACAATGGGCTAACATGTGGTTTAAATTTTTTAATTAATGATTAAAATTATTTCTTATAATTTTAAAATTATACAGCTGCATTCATATTATGTGCATTCAGTATCTTGCCTATAATTTGAAATTTACAATTAATAGTTAATATAAAATTAATAAATAAATTAATCTTAACTGTATTCACCAAAATTGCTAGATAATTTTGTTGCTAGATAACTGTTCACTGAATAATCACATCCTTGTATTATAAAGATTTATGCTGATATTTAAATTTTTATATCCAAGTAAGCTAGATAACAACAAATTTGCAACTGTTTAATAAAAATATAAAAGTATTTTAATAATTAATAATCATTTTAAAAATATAACATATTACCAGATTTACTAATGTACAATGAGCAAGTCACATTCAACAAATATTAAATTAACTGTATATAACTAGCTAAATTTATAAATCATTATTCTGTCATATGTGTAATTTTTAATAATTCTGTGACAAATAAATTAAACAATGTGATTTATTTGTTTTTTTATTGAGACACAATTGCAAAACAAATTGCTGTAACTATGTGCAACTAGCTATCTAGATAACATGTTTTATAACGAAATTGTCAATTTAAAATTAATTATTTTGAACTTTGATAACAACTGTGATTACGAATGAATTAATTAGATTATTTCTCATATTAAAATTAATATAAAGTTCTAGATCTTAAATCTAAATTATTATTCAGTATTGTAATAATAATTTAGATAATTAATAGTCTTTTTAATAATGTTTTACCATTTTGCATGTATTTCAGGATCGAGCTAATAACCTTGATATAAAATAAAGATAATGACAATATTTTAAAGGTTTAGATCCCAATTTCTTTATGGTTAAATTATTTTTAAATTAGCATGATTAATTATAAATATGTGTAGATAAAATATCATGATGAATTTTATGATTGGATCATAATTTTAAAAAAATGATTAACATTTAAATAAAAATGTTATTACAAAAATTACAAGTTTGAATTTGTGAATGAGTATAAAAAGTAACATTTAGTTAGTAAAATAAGCCACAAAAGTTTAATATTACATATATGTATACATGTATATAATATAATAAATTGGTACTTGAGACTTGGCTCATTAGTCCAACAACATAAAAAAATTTTGGCATCAAAAATTAATTAAAACATATTTAAAATTCCTTACAGTTAGTATTTTAAATAAAATTTTTATTACTCTACAGTACATCTGTATAAAACATTTATTAATTTTACAAGTTAATATACTTAATAAACATTAATTTTTAATATATTACAAGACTTAATCAAGTAAATACATATGTCGGTACAGGTAGATTTAATCCTTAATATAAACTATTTATGTTCGCAGCCATAAGTGGCGGGTGCCTGACCTGTGCCCAGTAAACCATTGTTAATGGCGCGCAACATTGGAAATTTCACCGAGCAACACCGAGGCTGTAGATCATCCTGGCCAATCTCCCACACAATTATACCACCAAATCCATTATCTTTAACCCACTTGCTCTTGCTATTTTAATGTGCAATAGAAAAAATGTACGATAAGAAGTGTGATCAAAACAAATACATATATCATTTAAAAAATCACTCACTCATGGGCTTGGTATGGGTCGTCATAACCAACCCATAAATTACCATGATACGCGATGGGGTCGTGTCCCTGATCCGGTGTCTCTTTAGCCCAACCCTTATTTTTAACCAAATCGCACATTTGACTATACAGGGCGGCCCCTCCCTGACCGCCCGGTACATTGCCATCGCCGGTAATGGGGGCACCCATTTGGTGTTGGGCCGGGTTTTGTAGGGTAAACACGTGGCCATAAAAGGGTACTCCAATCAACACCTTGTCTTTGGGCATACCTTTGTTTACATACGATTGACTCCAATCGATGCACTTTTGAAATGCCGAGTGATGGCCAGTCTTGTGGTCCCACGAACCAGCTAGATCATACGTCATTACGCTCAGGTAGTCCAGTGCTCTATGATTATAAAATTGTTAAAATAATATAACTAATTTCATTGTTGGAACCAAGTATATTAATGAATTCTTAATGAACATAATAATAATTTATAATTATACATTAATTACAGTCTTTACATATTGTTATGTAAACTTAGTTTTGTTTTATTTATCTTAAATTAATACAATATATTTATAATATTTGTGTTCACTTACTTAGCCATCGCTGGTATATCATATGATTTGTCAAGAGGGCCGCCGGGATAGCCGGCCGGTACGGCAGCCGACAGTGACAGCCGTGGGTTTTGCTTATCAAAGGCTGCTCTTAATTCCTATTTAATTAATAATAAATTAATTTAAAAAAAAAGAGAGAGAGAGAGAGAGAGGTTCGATAAATAAAACTGTAATTATAAACCGCAATAACAATTTAATTACAGATTTTAACCAAAATAGTTTTTAATGGAAAGAATAGGTGGACTTCATTTTAATAAACTTTTTTAGATATAATCATTATACAATTATTAGCATATCCATAATTAAACATTTAAATTTATATACTAAAATTGTTTAATTATGAGATATAAAATTATAACTTACCAAGACTAATTTCCCAAAATTGGGTTTATCCGACGCGGGTCCTTTATTACAATCGCCGCTCCAACACACCGGGTATTCCCAGTCGAGGTCCAGACCATCGAAACCGTATTGTTTTAAATACGCGATCGTATTAGTGATGAAATGTGCCCTAAGGTTAGCGTTATTAACGAGCCGAGAGAAGGGTTCGTTGGGCGCACCCCCACCGCCGACCGCAACAATGATTTTCAGCTCCGGATTGCGAGCCTTGAGTGCTGTCAGCCGGCGGTAGATCTCGGGTCGGGCGCTGCCGGTGGCGTCGACGATAGTATTTCTACCCTCGTCCAATTTGTGAAATGAAAAGTGAATGTGTGTGCAAAGGGTTGGGTCCATGCTTTCCGGCGGCAACTCTCCCAACCGATAGTCAGGCAAATAGCAGACCACTCGGGGCTTACATACGGACAGCGCTAACTGCGCGCACACCAGCGCTGTATATAATAGCACTTTCATCGTTGTTATTATTTTAAATCTAGACGAAAATTTTATTACCAGTTACCTGATTAAATATACTATGAAAGTCATAGGTTTTTATAGTTAGAAAAATATAATTTTATCTTATTTGTTTAAATAATCTAATTACAGTGTGCACCTTTTATAGCAATTTTACATATAAGGGAATACCGGGTATTAGTGACACCAAGTATTGATGCAATCAATTGTGTCGTGTTTCAAATCATATTAAATTATTAAAGCAGCACATGGTCAGAAAAAAACCAGTAATAAATTTAAAGTGTTATAAATCTAATGCCAGGTATAAAAAGAAATCACATAATGTGTTATAAGATAAGAGTTTTGAGCTCACTCATTGATTTTCTTATAGATGGTGAAGACTGTATTTATAATAGGATACTTTTATAAAAACAGATTTTGCAATTTTTTATCTGGATTATTAACGCTATCTGCCAGCTTATAATTAGGCTTATGATAATAATAGGCTTTATTTATTTAAGTGTGATATTTATATTTTATATTTCTTTATTAAATTTATAAATAATAAAAACTATCTTACGCTTGATGCAAAATTACAAATTAAGCAAATAATTGCAAAATAAAATTTTAATAACTATTTTTAAATAGATTTTGCTTAAATTAATTTATTAAATTTTATTTAGTTATCATCATTTATAAATTTAATCCCTAGTAATGATTTAAGTTATCATAATCATTGTGATTCGAAAACAATGACGTAAAATATTACCTGTAAGATATTTGTATTATTAATTTTAAAACGGCCACGTTCTACCAGTATGTTTATAATTACTTAATATGGTTATTTTTATAAATAAAAGGATATAATAAATAATATAATATTATTATAATAGCAAATGCATCAACCTTAAAAGCATATAATTGTATTCAAATAAATTTTTAATTAATAATATAAATTTAATTAAATGTAAGTTTAACATGATATAAATTTATGTTTACATTTCACATGCTTACATTATGTCTATAAATATAAATTATTGAAAATTAAAATTATTTGTGTTCACAGCCATAGGTGGCGGGTGTTTGACCTGTGCCCAGTAAACCATTGTTAATTGCCCGAAGCATTGGAAATTTCACCGAGCAGCATCGACCATAAATATCATCCTGAGCAATCTCCCACACCATTACACCACCGAAACCATTGACGTTAACCCACTTGCTCTTGCTATTTAAATCATAAATAATTTAATTTAAAAATTTAACACAACAGAAAGACTTTCCAATTTAAAATATATTTCAATTAATTATAAATATAATAAAAATATTATAGTTATTGGTTACAGTTTACATAAATGGCTAATCTAAACAAGTGTTCTACTTTCATTTTACATGAATTCACGCATTATATAAGCTTCACATAATTATAAACACATAATTCAATCCTGGAAAAACTAAATACATTTTTATTAATACTAAACAACTTAAAAAAGACTTACTCGTAGGCGGCGTACGGATCATCATAACACACCCATATATTACCATGGTAGGAAATCGGATCGTGGCCCTGATCAGGTGTCTCCTTTGGCCAGCCCTTATTCTTAACCAAATCGCACATTTGACTATACAGGGCGGACCCATCTTGTCCGCCGGGTATATTCCCGGCACCGGTAATGGGAGCACCCATTTGGTGTTGAGCCGGGTTTTGTAGGGTTAATACGTTGCCATAAAAGGGCACTCCTATTAACACCTTGTCTTTGGGCATACCTTTCGTTACGTATGATTGTGTGTAGTCTAAGGACTTTTGAAATGCCGAGTTATGGCCAGTTTTATGGTCCCATACGCCAGCTAGGGCATAAGTCATTACGCTCATAAAATCCAGTGCTCTAGTGTCATACAAAATTTACATTATTTAAAATATGCAATAATTTGTATTTTTACAAAGTTTTGCCACTTTCGCCAAAAGTGTTTACAATTTATATAATGTTATTATATAAAATGATTATAATGTATTAATTACAGGTTATATCTAATTTTATATTGCAATTCAATTATCAATCTGTATTTGATAGAATCACCATAATTGTTGTTCGCGGCTAAACTACAGTTTTATTTATCAACACAATTGTAATCGACAATTTTAAATACTGTTTATCACTTACTTAGCCATCGCTGGTATATCATAAGCCTTATCGATGGCACCGCCGGGAAAACCCGCCTGAACTGCAGCCGATAGCGACAGCCGTGGGGTCTGTTTATCGAAGGCGGCCCTCAATTCCTATTCAATTAACAATAAATAAAATAAATGTTTTGTTGAGAGAGAGAGAG